TGCAAATGAATGATGAAGTCACTATGTACTGATTTGAGTAAGAGCTCAAGCCCTCAGTGCTGATTATTACTGTTTTAGTGTATTTCCAACATTTTTCCAAACTGTTACCTGTGTGTAAAATACTCATGGCAGTTCAGTTTATGAGTTACAGAACGTTTCATTGCTTGCTAAATGTAGGCAGAAAATGAGTCCAATCGACGGCCGCATCCATATTGGATTTGCAGTCTCAACCTAACTTCGGATCAACCTAGCGACAGCAGTAAGGCGGGACCGGCGGGACTTAACTCCGCCCATTCAGCTCGACGTTAGCAGTCCACTTGACAGCATATCTAACAGCTAGGCTGCTATCATCAACTATTCCTGCTCGTCCTCAGAAAACTCTACAAACAGTAAGTTAACATTTAACTTTTCTACAACACAGTTAAAACTAATTATATTCAACCCAAATATTTAATTAAAGTCTTAAAACTACACTTTTTTAAATATACAATCATGGTTATTAGTTATTTGTCAGAGCAGTAAGACTTTGTCAGTGTTAGCAGAGCAATACATTAGCAAAGTTTTATCCATAGACTGTAAATAAATATGAGACATCCAGAAGAAATGAATATTACAAAGCATACAGTTCATGTTACTGTTCTGACAAAAAGAGGAATGTCTGTGTCTTATATTTACTGATGTCAACAGCGAGGTGGGTGAACATGACAACTGAAAAATAATTATTTAGTATTTATTATAAGACATTTGTTTTCTATAGAACCCTGTGAAGTCATGGAGTCTGTGGACAGTGTCAGCTTCACACCAAAAACTTTAAGTATTAGAAAAAATAGTGTTTAAGACTGGTATCTATTATTATGCGTTGTAGCTACCTTGTTCAATATTATTCCTGCAGATGTGGCTAATAACAAAAAAAACACCCTGAGCTGTCACATGTACTTAACTGTCCATTTTGTCTTGTCTGAGGCATTAATTGAACACCTTTGTATTCTCCTATAGACACAGTGTGGATTATTGGTGACTGGTCCGTCGAGGTGCAGAGACAGAGGCAGAAACCTGAGCTTCAACAACATCTGCATTTGTTGGTTCTTCTGGGGTTGCTTCTCTTCAACAGCTCGCTGTGAGGGAGGTCTCCCCCGGATGGCCTGAGTGATGACACCCACAGACTGAGAGCTGAGACGTGTTTTAAGCCTCTTGACAAACCGTTACACCGTGCCCACCTGTCAAGCTGGTCAGCGACATGCCTTATTGTGAATAACTCTTATCCTTCATCAAATCAAAACTGATGAGTCATCAAAACATTCACCCCCCGTACAGTGTGTGTCCAACGAGACATGAGCTAATCACACCTATTTGTTTGTTTTGTACCAAGCTGTAAACATGTTCATCTCTGCTGTGAAAACAGTCTTTTTTTAATGTTGTTTTTCAGATTAAATAAATATTTCTATATAAATGCACTCCTTTATGTCTACTTATGAGTATACATTTCAGATTTTAAAAGGACAAGACTAAAATGTGCATTAATGCTCAACTCAATAGCTTAGGGAAGGAATCTACTTTTACACAACTTTTTATTCTTTTGATAAATACTAATGTAGTTCATTTCTGAAAATGGGATGGAACAGAGTCATTGCAAAAATATGCCCTTAAACACAGCCCCACTCTTAAATCAAGATACATGGAGAGTAAATAAGATCAATAACTTGTGAATAAAAACACAGTTAAAAATGATTTAGAAATGTAGTCTTCCCAGATCAATATCACATAATATCAACTTCTCCCATCTAAACTGGACAAAGGGTTTTAAAATGGGAAGAAAATGGTTTGATTGCAAGATGTTTGGAGGAGCTCTATTTTTATTTGAACAGCTGAAGCATGAATACAGTCTTCTAAGGTGCAAACCCTCCTCCTCCTCCTCCTGAAGCCTGTGGAGCTCCTTCATGTACTGCTGTCTTATCTGCTGGCCATCTTCTCTCACCAGAACTTCGACTGTTGAAAAGTCATTCTGAAGAAGCTCGAACATGTGACACGGATCCAGGAGAACATGGACTTTTAGTGAGGGGTCTTCAGGATGGCAAAGAAAGAGAGAAAATATCAGTTATTCATTAAATCATTTGTTTGTTCTCATCTATTTTTCTGTATTCATCTGTGTGTAAGAGTACATTTATAAATTCAACAGTGTACTACCCAGACAACAAAGGTACAGTATTCAGATAATCAACATCTATTTAAAGTTAAGAAGATAAACCTTATTGTAATCATTCTATTTTCAGCTCTCTCACTCACTTGCACAATGATATTCCACATCAAATTGTCTCAGATTTTGTGTGAGGAAAAATTAAGCAGCTTATTGTGGATAGTACTTCATTTTAACATGAAACAAATATAATCTGAATTATTTAAATCATTAACAGGTCCCAACTCTCTGTGCTTTAGTACAGAACATACAGTAACTCATTTATTATTAACATGAGCTCAGTACATGGCTGTATTCTTCAAACTATTTCTTATACTTTATATCTATGTGCTTTATATCTTATTTTCATTCCATATGTTATTTATATTTTATATTTCTACAGCTATATTCTGTGTATGAGTTCACTGAAAATTAATATGGTTATTAATATAGTTTTTTTTTAAATTTGTTAACAGTTTGCACAAATCACTACATCAACCATGTAACTTTAATGTCATCCTCTATAACCTACACAGCACATTAGGTTCAGTTCAGTTTATGTTACTGACGGATAATTACTACACAAAGTTTGTTTTTTAATGTTGACATTTACGTGGAGTATAACATTCATCATAACGTCAGATAACCACCGAGGTGAACCTTTAGCTTCTAACATCACACAAACTCATTATTTTCAACAACAACATCTTAACAACAAACATTTCTAAACCATTGTAAATAATGAGCTACACAGTTAGCCGACTGGTTTACAAGCTAACGCTAAACAAGTTAGGTCCGTAAATATAAACGAGTAAGCAGTAAATATAACACTACTATATCACTTACCGGAAAAATCTGAAGCATCAACTTCTTGGATGGTCTGTTAACCGCACAGCAAGCCATGTATGTTGTCAGATATGTGTTAAACAAACTCTCCAAACGAAGTAAGAAAGAGGAGAAATCAGACGGATCAAGCTGTTAGCCTCCTGACCTGCTGACCGCGCAGAGCTGTCAATCAAATCTGACACAACCAAATATGGGCATAGTCGTTTTCCTTAATAGAATAAAATCCGATGAGTTATAAAGAAATTCACCCCCCCCCCCCCACAGTGTGAGGAGAAGGGGCCGTCAACTTCTCAGATATATCTCGTTTTTTGAACCAGGCTGTAAACATGTTGATTCCTGTGGTAAAAACGGGCTTTTTTGGCTGTGGGCTTATGGCACTTCCGGCGCTTCTGCAGCCAGCCTCAAGCGGAACCTCGAGGAACTGCAGTTTTTTGTACTTCCGCATAGGCTTCATTTTTCAAGACCGGAGGTTGCCCCTTGGTTGAAACAGGATTTCCAGCATGGAGACCGCCATCGATGGGACTCCAAAGCCCCCTGCAGGAACAGATGGGTGACGTCACTCAGGCTTCGTCTATTTATATTTACAGATTATGTTTCAAACCACAGACTGGGAAAAAAACATGGACGTAGCATAAGTGATGTCATCAATTGGACGAGGTGTTTTGAAACTTAAAGATGGCGGTCACAATATTGAAAATACTGTCTCTCACTAACTTTCAGTCAACATAGAAACAGAGAAAGACAGGGCTCGACATTATAACTGGCCCGGATGAATAATTGACAGGAAATTTACACAAAATTACCGTGATCTAGAAACGCTTACGTGACATTCAAATAAGCAGTGAGTACAGTATGTCATAATTCTTTTCTCTAGTCCCTCAATTTAACAACTTTTGTACGCAAGGTGATGGGCCGGCCTGCCATCCCGGCTTTGTAAACAAAGTAAAGCTACGGCTCGGAAAACTCTGAAAACATCACAGACAGTGGGACTCGGGTGTTACACCCATTGTAGACAGTCATGACTCACAGAGTTATTTTCAGAGGATATACTTGATTTCTATTACATGTAAGTGTGAAAAATCACATATTAAGCCTTTAAAGATGACCTAACCATTTCCTGAGAAGAGTGTAGTGTTCATGTTTTTTTTTTTATCCTTTCACTTTCAACATTAGCATTTTGTGAACACCATGTTGAGAACCAATGAGTGAGAGGGAAGTGCTGATAATGTTGCTTAGGGACTACTTACTTGATAAAAAGTCTGCATGCATGCAGATAAGAAATAGAATACGAGGGTATTAGGGTTTTGCTGAGCATGACTTTTAAGGAAAGTATTATTGCTAGCAGTGAAGTTTATAACTGATCAGTTTACCAGAATAAAATATAGTTTTTATTGTAGAGGATATTTTTCAACCTTCTTTATTAACAGAAACAAATCAAGTTTTCCTTTATGGTGCAGAAGAAGAATTCTTGTAGCTGTATTCTTTCGGGATTATGGCGATGTCATTTATAGACATGCTGCAGCTTCAACTCTAAAGCCTCCTGACGCTGTCTGTCACTCAGCTCTGAGATTTATAACTGGATATAGATTCAGCGCTCATCACCGTGAGCTATATGAGAAGGTTGATTGGCCTTGTCTTGAAGAGAGGCGCAACAATCATTGTTTTTTTTTTTGGAAAACGTCCACCTTGCAGCCCAGACCTGTTGGAGTGGAAGTGGAATTTGGCCACCTACATGACTCGTTCTTCTGATTGGATCGTTCTTAAAGTCCCTCAGACTTTTGCTTGTTTTACTGTGCTTGTAATCTCAATATATCCATCATACAATAAGTAAATGACAAATAATGAATAATCACACAGCAGGTTATAGTAACAGGTTGTTTATGTTTCTTTATCATGCATTGTCTGTGTACTGTTCTCAATGTGTGGCAACACACTTTGACAGCAAGCCAAACTCCGTCCAAAAAATGCAGAAGAGTCAGGATTCATCTTAGTTGTCACTTTTAATAAGATGTTGCTGCAGATACATTTATGAAGCAAGAGTGAAACTGTAGAAAACATGAACTATAAAAAAGAAATCAATATTCAACTGACAAGTTAGCTTTAGCTTACTGCTTTATACTATATGAATTTCCAACTAATCAAAAATGTCTTATGACATGTATGTATTCGTATTCAAGCATGATGCGCTTCAAATAAAATATACTCTTAACAATCTATGTCTCCTTTTACCCGATATCAACTTTAGATGTTTCATTTTCCCAATAACCACATATGCAAAGGTTCAAAGCCTTTACCTTACAAATATGAACATATATGATTTAAATATCAGGTAACAAAACAGAATACACTTACAGATGATGCTTTCACAAGCTTAAATGAAAGGATGGTAGCAGATGCGACATACGTCTGCTCCTTCATCTGCATGCAGAGAAAATGGCCTCCTTACAATTAACTTCCTGTATAAACAAGCTAATTCCTGTTCTGACAAAACAACCACTAGGAGGTGCTAAAACACTGATAAAGGCATTTAACAGCCTGAGGAAAGACAGTCTGCCTCAGCAGTGAGACGGTCTACATGTCGTTAATGTAGTCTTCTCCGAAGGTGACCATCTGTCTCAGTGTGGTCAGAATCAGCCTGCTGATGTCGTCACTCGTGCTGATTTCTGACTCGTAGTTCTTCACCAGGAAGATGGACTTGATGGGAATTCCCAGCATTGCACTGAATTTTTCCACCTGTTAGAGTCAAATAATTTCAGATAATCAGGGATTGCAAAACTCAGACCAAAGGTGGAAATGTGATGAAAAATGAAACTCAACAATAACAAATCTAAACCGGCTCACCTGTCCCTTCAGTTTCTTGCTCTTGTGCAAGTTGTGAATATTTGATCTGACCTCAGGACAGGCCTGATCAACTTTGGTGAGGATGGCCAGTTGGGGAATTCCTGCAGATGTGGAAACCTTATTTTAATCACTTGTTTTTTAATTTGCCTAATATGGAAATGTAAGTGTGTGATATCTGTTCTTACCCAGATCACTGGCAGCTAGTCTGACTTCTCTTAACTTCTGCACGACTTTGTCATCTAACCGAGAGACTGAGCTGACAGGAACCACACAGACCAGCACGTGGACTTTGTCATCCAGAGAGGGGTTGGAGTTGTAGCCCTGGTCATTCTTTGTCAGTGGGCCATAAGGATTGAACTGAAAAACAAAAATAGACATTCTAATAGTATTTTTCAATGTACAGAGCCGTGAATGTTTCAGTGAATAAAAAAGCAAAATGATAATGCAAAAAAAGAAACTCCAAGGTGCCCTGTTAAGTCTTCTTACATTTCCTAGTAAGGAGCAGTTTTATTATGAGCTGGTCCTCATTCTGTTTATTTATGGAAAAAAAAACTCATTGCACATGTGAGACTCATTCTAATCAATGGTTTGAAACACTCCTATCTGAAGTTGGCCATAATCCATCATTAATGCAGCAATAATAGAGGTGAAGAGGAGCTGAGGCGGGAGTGTACCTTGTAACCATCCTTCACATGTCCCCGCAGGGCCAGTTTGATATCTTCCACATGGACTCCATTGTCGGCGTTATTCTCAAGGCCCATGATGTCGTTGAAAACAAAAGAATAGAAGCTCTGGTGATCTTTTTCGATTTTGTATGTTTTGTACTGTGAAGAAGGAGAAATGATTTGCATCGTTCAGGTAAATCTAAGATAGACATTCCTAAAGCAACAAAATAATTATTTCATTTTATTTAGCGAGATAATCTACATTGATCAAATTATTTTTTATTTTATTTTAAATGTTCTTACTGAAACTAAGCTGCCACAAAATCATAATTTTTTTCAAGTAATTGAGATGAAAGGGCAAAATCTGCCACGTTTTCAGAAACTGCACTCTTCAAGTAGCTAACTTCATTATTTTTTATTATTCTTTATTATATGATGTAGATCAGCAGTCATCAGTTGTTCATACCTTTAGGGTGAAGCTTTTCCCAGAGGTCGCATCCGTCTCAGCTCGATCTGTAACAATGCCTCTCAAAGCACTGTCAACAGAGTTTATGAAACTGGACTTGCCGGCACCGACCGGTCCATGAAGCAGAATCCTGAGATGTTTGACTTCTTTGTTTCGAGGTTGGTAAGATTTCATGAAGTTGAGATTGTCCTCAGTGCTCCTGTTGGTAGAAGAACATGAGATTAATTACTTCAGTGTTTTAAATATTGAATGTTCAACAGGCACATTGTTATTGATGCTCTGCTGAGTGGCAGAACCACACCCAGTTTCACCACCCTCACTTCCTGTTTACTCACATCGGCAGAGTCCTCCATGGCTGTCTTAAACAAGCTGAAAGACAAATTCACATGTTAACATACAGTAAGACAACTTCAGACTATTTAAACAATTTAAACAGCATCATGTTTCACTGAATGGTAATATTTGAACGAGAATCATTTTAACTACATGTGGAAAATCTTACGAGAAGGTGGGGGTGTGGGTGGGCGTGGGGATGGGCGTGAGTATGGGGATGGGCGTTGGCGTGGGAATGGGAATGGGAATGGGAATGGGAATGGGAATGGTTTGGATTCTTCTCCTCCCATATCTGTAAAATATAACAGTGGTGTGTTAATGTGGATGACTTTACCTCGATAAAGGAAGAATATTCAGATCATAAACTCTGTAAAAATAACAACAATGAGGAATACAGCTTTGCAAATGAATGATGAAGTCACTATGTACTGATTTGAGTAAGAGCTCAAGCCCTCAGTGCTGATTATTACTGTTTTAGTGTATTTCCAACATTTTTCCAAACTGTTACCTGTGTGTAAAATACTCATGGCAGTTCAGTTTATGAGTTACAGAAAGTTTCATTGCTTTTCATTGCATTATTTCCCTCTGGACTGCAGCGGAGTAAACACATGAAGCTGAATACATTTAAATATTCAGATAAAGTATCTCAGAACTTTTATCTGATTTTTAATACATGACCTCAGTATGTGGTGTTAAACAAGTTTATTGAAACATGCAGTAGATCATAGATTTATCTTTAAATTCATCCAGTTCATGTGAGAGTTGGTTTGTCAAAGTAACTTTTAAATAAATATCAATTCCATGTTCACATCATTCAAGAAAAATAAACAAAGAGGGAAAAGGAAAACTCAGCAGTACAAGGAGTCCTTTATAAAAAAGAGATTTATCATTATAAACATCTTGAAGTCTAAAACAAACTGACGTCAATCAAATTAATAATAAAATCATAGAATGAAGAGAGTCTTACCTTTTCTTGTGATGCTCTGGATGCTCTGGAGTGACTCTGCAAATGTGCAGGCTGGTCCAGCTTTTTATAGGATAGGGTCTCTTACTTTCACTTTCGTTCTGTTCTTTTGTGTGATTCTGGTCAGCCCACTGACTTCCGAGAAATGGCCGTTCAGACCTTTATCGGCTGTTTGGTTTTTTTAGAGATAGGACAGTGTATAGGGTCGGAAATCAGGGAGGGAGAGAGTGGGGAATGACATGCGGGAAAGGAGCCACAAGCTGGATTTGAACCTGGGCCGCCCGCTTGGAAGACTTCAGCTTCCATACATGGGGTATGCGCACTAGCCACTGCTCCACCAGCACCTCATCGGCTGTTTTTTTTTTAATGCGCAGACTGGTCGCCCTTTTTATAGGGTCTCTTACTTTCACTTTTGTTCTTTTGTCTGTTTCTGGTAAGCCCCCTGACTTCCGAGGAATGACTGTGCAGATCTTTATCGGATGTTTTTTTAAATGTGCAGGTTCATCAGAATTTGCACAAGATATAATAAAAAGGAAAAATGTATCTTTACTGACTGCCTATATCAGTCTTTGCAGATACAGCAGTGATAGCTTGATAGCTAAATGTTTTTTTCAGTATTTATTTATATTTACTCATTCTACCTTTCTCTCTGTGTTTACCTGTCCTCATCACGCTCTTACATCCAGCTGACCCCACCTGCCCTTCAGTGTCCCCTTCTTCCTCTATACATGTCTTTTTTTTCTTCTTTGCAATGCCTTTTGGACGTTTCTTTCTACTTTTAAATTTGCATCATTTTTAAATTTGCTGCAGGTTTTAATAGCAAGTGCAAATGCTCGTCTGCCAACGTACAGAAGACACAAGGTGCTTGATTCTTTGATTCTTTGAGTCTTGAAGTGTTTGATATCTTTTCCTGTTTTTGTTTGGTACAGTGTATACAAACTAGCTGGAGCTGAGGCAGGTTTTAACCTCATGACAGGTTACATCATGCCCACATGTCAATCATGTCAGCTACACGCCTAACTATGGATAACACATATCATTCATAAAATTAAAATGGATCAATTTATTCATTTTTTTTCATGTTAATGTCTACTGTAATAAATGGGTTATTCATTAATCAATCATCAGAAAGTATACTGTAATATTCCAGCCTTCATTTATCAGTAAGAAATGTTGTATTTATTTTACTTTGATGACAGCCTGTTATTGTTTTGACTGAAAGTTAGGCTGAGACAGGATTTCCAGCATTGAGACCGCCATCGATGGGACTGCAAAGCCCCCTGCAGGACAGATGGCTGACGTAACTCAGGCTTTGTTCATTTATATTTACAGATTATGTTTCAAACCACAGACTGGGAAAAATACATGGACGTAGTATAAGTGATGTCATCAATTGGACAAGGTGTTTTGAAACTTACAGATGGCGGTCACAATATTGAAAATACTGTCTCGAACTAACTTTCAGTCAACATAGAAACAGGGAAAGACAGGGCTTGACATCATAACTGGCCTGGATGAATGATTGATAGAGTCCGGGCCAGCTGATTGCACGTTCAGCTGGCCCGCTCGGGCCAGTTAAAATACTGCCTGAAAAAAATAGACAGGAAATTTACACAAAATGACCGTGGTCTAGAAACGCTTACGTGCGATCAAATAAGCAGTGAGTACAGTATGTTATTCTTCTTTTCTCTAGTCCCTCAATTTAACAACTTTTATATGCGAGAGGAGGAGTCAGCCTGCCGTCCTGGCGATGTAAACAAAGTGAAGATAGGACTCGGAAACCTGGGAAAACATCTCATATTCTTCCTTTAAAGACGACCTAACCATTTCCTGAGAAGGGTGTGGTGTTCAAGGTTTTTTTTTAATCAATCAATCAATCAAACTTTATTTATATAGCACCTTTCAGACAAATTAAATTGCAGCTCAAAGTGCTTAACAAGAGTGCAGAAAAGTTGTTGACAAAAAGTAGTAAAAAAATATGTATAAAAATAAAATAAAATAAAATACGACACATAAAAGCAACATGACATTAAAATAAATACGAGAGGAAAATATTTATATATATTATATAAAATTGTCGTAGGATAAAAAAGACAATACAGTAATGTTAAGATTTGAATTGATATAAAACACTATATAAAAGCCAGACTGAATAAATGAGCTTTAAGACTGCGTTTAAAAATCTTGATATCCTGGGCTCCTCTCAGACCCTCAGGAAGGTTGTTCCACAGTCTCGAAGCGTAACAGCTGAAAGAAGCATCGCCAAAGGTTTTTGTCCTGCTCTGTGGAACAACTAAGAGAGAGGAACTGGAGGATCTGAGGGGCTGTACTGGTTCATAAACTAAAATCATATCTGATAGGTAGTCTGGTGCAAGGCCATGTAATGCTTTATAAACTAATAAAATAATTTTAAAATCAACACGAAAACTAACAGGCAGCCAGTGTAAAGATTTTAAAACAGGTGTGATGTGTGCTCTCCTTCTGGTCTTTAGCAGTACTCGTGCGGCAGAGTTTTGTAGTAGCTGTAGCCGATTTGTTGTGTTTTTAGGAAGACCAGAAAGGAGAGCGTTACAATAGTCCAGCCTGCTGGTAATAAAAGTGTGCATTAGTCTCTCTGTTTGGCTCAGAGAGAGAAATGGCCTCACTTTGGCGATGTTTTTCAGGTGGTAAAATTTAGTTTTTGTGACACCCTTCACGTGGGCCTTAAAATTAAAATTTGAGTCAAAGATCACCCCAAGATTCCTTGCTTCTTGACTTGGGTTGAGTCCTATTTTTTGTAATTTGGGGGCCAGTTTCTCCCTCTGGGCCTTTGAACCGATGATTAAAACCTCTGTTTTGTCCTGGTTGAGCGGCAAAAAATTCTGTGACATCCAGGATTTTATATCTAAAATACAATTAAAAAGTGAGTCAATTTGTCTGGTGTCATCAGGAGACACGGCTACATAGAGCTGAGTGTCATTAGCATAGCTGTGGAAAAAGATTCTGTGCCTCCTGATGACACCACCCAGGGGTAACATGTACAAATTAAAAAGTAGTGGTCCTAAAATTGATCTTTGTGGTACCCCACTGGAGACTTTGTATTGTTTGGAGGTGCAGTCTTCTATCGATACAAAACATTTTCTGTTACACAAATACAAGGTGAACCAGTTAAAAACATTTCCGGAAAGGCCTCCATGCTCACTTAGTCTATCTAAAAGAATCTGGTGGTCAACAGTATCGAAAGCAGCACTGAGGTCGAGTAGTACCAGAACAGAAGGCTTGTTGTTTTTCTGATATCATTAACTACTTTTAGCAGGGCCGTCTCAGTGCTGTGGCGTGCCCTAAAGCCAGATTGAAACATTTCTAATGTAGTGTTTGAGGTTAAAAAGACACTCAACTGATTAAAAACTAACTTCTCTAAAATTTTGCTTAAAATTGGCAGGTTTGAGATGGGTCTAAAATTACTAGGTGTTAAAATATCCAGGTTCCCTTTTTTTAAGAGGTTTAATTAAGGCAGCCTTAAAATCGGTAGGGACGACACCTAGCTGTAAGGAGTGATTTACTATGTTGAGGACATCTTCTGATACTGAATTAAAAATGGTTTTAAAAAGGGGTGTTGGAATTGGGTCAAGGGAACACGTGGATGACTTCATTTCTGTTACCGCTGTTCTGAGTGTTGCAGCATCAACCAGGGCAAAACTTTCCAACTTGACATCACTGATTGTACATGATACTGGAAAAAGTGCTTGCTTTGCTGACAGATACCAGACCTAATGTCAACTATTTTATCCCTGAAGTAGCCAGCAAAAAACTCACATTTAGATCCTTAGAGCACTGAGCTGTTATTGGTTGTGGGGTGTAACAGAGAATCTATTGTCCTGAAAAGATGTCTGGGGTTGTGAATGTTGCTGTTTATCAGGTTTGAGAAATATTCTTGCCTTGATTTTCGGATCGCTTTGTTGTAGTCTTTTATTGCTTCTACTAGTATATTTTTATATTTTTGTTTTTCGCCATCTGCGTTCAGCAATTCTGCAGTCTCTCTTAAGTGCATTGGTCGCATTGTTTTTCCATGGAACAACCTTTTTTGTATTTACTGTCTTAGTTGTGATTGGAGCAAGCATTAAACACTGTCCTCAGTTTATAATTAAAATCGGTAACAAGTTGTTCACAGGATGATGGTAAGGTGGTATTTCTGTAAGCTGTAAGATGTGATCTAAGAGTTGTGGCTACTTCAGGGGTAATGTGCCCTTTGTTAACTGTACGTTCTATTGCATCTGGAGGAGAGTGATCAAAACTGTTAAAAAACACACAATGATGGTCAGACAGAGCCAGGTCAGTGATGGATGAAATATTAATGTTTAGGCCATATGATATAATCAGATTGAGGTGTGTCCATGTTTGTGAGTCGGTGTATTGACGTGCTGTTTAAAACCCATACATTCTAATAATTCTAACAACTCTTTGGCTCTGGTATCTGCCAGACTGTCAACATTTACATTAAAGTCATCAATTAAAATACAAGCATCATAACTCAGATCAGAAAACTCTGTTAGGAAAGAGGAGAAAACTAAGTTGGGGGCTCTGTATACTGTCACTGCCAGAATATGTGGCTTACATTTTAAAAGTGTTGGATTGTAGAGAATTTATGTTTATGGGAACTTTTACCAGATTATTGAAGATTGGACCCTTTGTAGTTCTATTGAAGAAGTGACGGGTGGAGATGATGGTTTTAATAAAATCAAGAGCGGTAGAAGGGGTAAGAGGTCATGGAGAGATACAATGCACTATATTTTGGGCGAGCATCTGAGAGCCCCTGTGGTTTGGATGAAGTCCATCACATTTGAAAAACGCTGGACGGCCCCAGAAAACATTGAAATTGATAAAAGGTGACCTTAACCTTATCACAGATGGATTTTATCCATAAGTTGAGCGAAAACAGGCAACTGAATTTTTCAATGCCTCTTGCGAGTTGGAAGAGGTCCTGATATAGCAATATTTTTTCCAGTTGCTTTCAGACTGGAAATCAAAGTTTTGAAATGTTCCTTTAATATTTCGGACTCCCGCTGAGATGTGTCGTTGCTGCCGATGTGTGCCACCACAGTACTCACGTTACAGTGCTTTCCAAGCACGGCTGGAAGGGTGTTGAGGTCTAACACTCGGGCTCCAGGGAAGCAGTGGACCGCTGCAGTGGTTCCGTGGGAGGTGAGCGAGAGCCCCCGGACGATGGAATCCCCAATCACCACAGTGGAAGCAGGCGATGGTGAAAGTGAAGAGGTGGGTGCTGCTGAGTGACGCCGGTCGGGGGATGAGTCTGAGCTCAGAACCATAAAACGGTTTTCCAGCCTGAGCTCCGGACGAGATGGTAGGGGACGGAGGATTTCCGTCCGTCCTCCTCGCCGTCCTCTGTCACCCACCCACTTCCATGGGTGTTACCCGGGGCACGGAGTGGAGCAAGAGCCGGCTGTGCGTCCCTCGGCAGGTGCAGCCACGTCTGTGGTCAGCGGAGGAAAGTGCTCCTCCGAGAGAATTTCCATACATGGCTCTTGAACCGGTAGAGTCGTTGCAAAGAGAGCAGAGTTTTGTGTTCCCAAACTGGCTGATCCGATTAAAACCGTAGCATTAAAAGTGTCCTGAAGTTTTGATGTCTCTTTTAAAACAGTGTTTAGCTCTGTCATCTGACGAAGTTTCATGTGCATTTCAATGAGCTTCTCCTGTAGTTCATTTATTCTATCGCATTTAGCGCATATGAAATTGTCTGTAAAATCCTCAGAGCTGATGATTAAAAACATTTCACATAGTTCACATCTTTGAGCTCTTTTGTTCTCTGCTGTAGCTTCCATTTCAGGACAGGATCCACAAGGTAGCAGCAGGTAGGCTACTCAAAGTGTCAGAAAAATGTTCAAATATTCCGGTTATAGACACGGCTTCAAAAGTTTTTTAACCAGCTCGCTATGGAAGGTCAATAGATGCTCATCAAACGGATGAACAATTTAAAAACAATTTAAAACAAAACCGAGAGCCGATGCTGGCAGCATGGACCATGGACCGTTTAGCCTTTGCTGATAGTGCTGATAATGTTGCTTAGGGACTACTTACTTGATAACAACAAGCCTGAGTGCATGCAGATAAGAAATAGAATACGAGGGTATTAGGGTTTTGCTGAGCATGACTTTTAAGGAAAGTATTATTGCTAGCAGTGAAGTTTATAACTGATCAGTTTACCAGGATAATGTGACAAAATATAGTTTTTATTGTAGAGGACATTTTCAACCTCCTTCTTTCTCAACAGAAACAAATCAAGTTTTCCTTTATGGTGCAGAAGAATTCTTGTAGCTGTATTCTTTCTGGATTATGGCAATGTCATTTATAGACATGCTGCAGCTTCAACTCTAAAGCCTCCTGACGCTGTCTGTCACTCAGCTCTGAGATTTATAACTGGATATAGATTCAGCACTCATCACCGTGAGCTATATGAGAAAATTGATTGGCCTTGTCTTGAAGAGAGGCGCAACAATCATTTTTTGGGGAAACGTCCACCTTGCAGCCCAGACCTGTTGGAGTGGAATTGGAATTTGGCCACCTACATGACTCGTTCTTCTGATTGGATCGTTCTTAAAGTCCCTCAGACTTTTGCTTGTTTTACTGTGCTTGTAATCTCAATATATCCATCATACAATAAGTAAATGACAAATAATGAATAATCACAGCAGGTTATAGTAACAGGTTTTTTTATGTTTCTTTATCATGCATTGTCTGTGTACTGTTCTCAATGTGTGGCAACACACTTTGACAGCAAGCCAAACTCCGTCCAAAAAATGCAGAAGAGTCAGGATTCATCTTAGTTGTCACTTTTAATAAGATGTCGTTGCAGATACATTTATGAAGCAAGAGTGAAACTGTAGAAAACATGAACTATAAAAAAGAAATCAATATTCAACTGACAAGTTAGCTTTAGCTTACTGCTTTATACTATATGAATTTCCAACTAATCAAAAATGTCTTATGACATGTATGTATTCGTATTCAAGCATGATGCGCTTCAAATAAAATATACTCTTAACAATCTATGTCTCCTTTTACCCGATATCAACTTTAGATGTTTCATTTTCCCAATAACCACATATGCAAAGGTTCAAAGCATTTACCTTACAAATATGAACATATATGATTTAAATATCAGGTAACAAAACAGAATACACTTACAGATGATGCTTTCACAAGCTTAAATGAAAGGATGGTAGCAGATGCGACATACGTCTGCTCCTTCATCTGCATGCAGAGAAAATGGCCTCCTTACAATTAACTTCCTGTATAAACAAGCTAATTCCTGTTCTGACAAAACAACCACTAGGAGGTGCTAAAACACTGATAAAGGCATTTAACAGCCTGAGGAAAGACAGTCTGCCTCAGCAGTGAGACGGTCTACATGTCGTTAATGTAGTCTTCTCCGAAGGTGACCATCTGTCTCAGTGTGGTCAGAATCAGCCTGCTGATGTCGTCACTCGTGCTGATTTCTGACTCGTAGTTCTTCACCAGGAAGATGGACTTGATGGGAATTCCCAGCATTGCACTGAATTGTTCCACCTGTTGGAGTCAAATAATTTCAGATAATCAAATTGCAAAGCTCAGACCAAAGGTGGAAATGTGATGAAAAAAAAAAAATGAAACTCAACAATAACAAATCTAAACCGGCTCACCTGTCCCTTCAGTTTCTTGCTCTTGTGCAAGTTGTGAATATTTGATCTGACCTCAGGACAGGCCTGATCAACTTTGGTGAGGATGGCCAGTTGGGGAATTCCTGCAGATGTGGAAACATTTTCAGTATTTTAATCACTTGTTTTTTAATTTGCCTAATATGGAAATGTAAGTGTGTGATATCTGTTCTTACCCAGATCACTGGCAGCTAGTCTGACTTCTCTTAACTTCTGCACGACTTTGTCATCTAACCGAGAGACTGAGCTGACAGGAACCACACAGACCAGCACGTGGACTTTGTCATCCAGAGAGGGGTTGGAGTTGTAGCCCTGGTCATTCTTTGTCAGTGGGCCATAAGGATTGAACTGAAAAACAAAAATAGACATTCTAATAGTATTTTTCAATGTACAGAGCCGTGAATGTTTCAGTGAATAAAAAAGCAAAATGATAATGCAAAAAAAGAAACTCCAAGGTGCCCTGTTAAGTCTTCTTACATTTCCTAGTAAGGAGCAGTTTTATTATGAGCTGGTCCTCATTCTGTTTATTTATGGAAAAAAAAACTCATTGCACATGTGAGACTCATTCTAATCAATGGTTTGAAACACTCCTATCTGAAGTTGGCCATAATCCATCATTAATGCAGCAATAATAGAGGTGAAGAGGAGCTGAGGCGGGAGTGTACCTTGTAACCATCCTTCACATGTCCCCGCAGGGCCAGTTTGATATCTTCCACATGGACTCCATTGTCGGCGTTATTCTCAAGGCCCATGATGTCGTTGAAAACAAAAGAATAGAAGCTCTGGTGATCTTTTTCGATTTTGTATGTTTTGTACTGTGAAGAAGGAGAAATGATTTGCATCGTTCAGGTAAATCTAAGATAGACATTCCTAAAGCAACAAAATAATTATTTCATTTTATTTAGCGAGATAATCTACATTGATCAAATTATTTTTTATTTTATTTTAAATGTTCTTACTGAAACTAAGCTGCCACAAAATCATAATTTTTTTCAAGTAATTGAGATGAAAGGGCAAAATCTGCCACGTTTTCAGAAACTGCACTCTTCAAGTAGCTAACTTCATTATTTTTTATTATTCTTTATTATATGATGTAGATCAGCAGTCATCAGTTGTTCATACCTTTAGGGTGAAGCTTTTCCCCAGAGGTCGCATCCGTCTCAGCTCGACTTGTAACAATGCCTCTCAAAGCACTGTCAACAGAGTTTATGAAACTGGACTTGCCGGCACCGACTGGTCCATGAAGCAGAATCCTGAGATGTTTGACTTCTTTGTTTCGAGGTTGGTAAGATTTCATGAAGTTGAGATTGTCCTCAGTGCTCCTGTTGGTAGAAGAACATGAGATTCATTACTTCAGTGTTTTAAATATTGAATGTTCAACAGGCACATTGTTATTGATGCTCTGCTGAGTGGCAGAACCACACCCAGTTTCACCACCCTCACTTCCTGTTTACTCACGTCGGCAGAGTCCTCCATGGCTGTCTTAAACAAGCTGAAAGACAAATTCACATGTTAACATACAGTAAGACAACTTCAGACTATTTAAACAATTTAAACAGCATCATGTTTCACTGAATGGTAATATTTGAACGAGAATCATTTTAACTACATGTGGAAAATCTTACGAGAAGGTGGGCGTGGGGGTGGGGGTGGGGGTGGGGTGGGGATGGGCGTGGGGATGGTTTGGATTCTTCTCCTCCCATATCTGAAAAATATAACAGTGGTGTGTTAATGTGGATGACTTTACCTCGATAAAGGAAGAATATTCAGATCATAAACTCTGTAAAAATAACAACAATGAGGAATACAGCTTTGCAAATGAATGATGAAGTCACTATGTACTGATTTGAGTAAGAGCTCAAGCCCTCAGTGCTGATTATTACTGTTTTAGTGTATTTCCAACATTTTTCCAAACTGTTACCTGTGTGTAAAATACTCATGGCAGTTCAGTTTATGAGTTACAGAAAGTTTCACTGCTTGATAAATGTAGTGGACTAGAAGGTTCATTATTTCCCTCTGGACTGCAGTGGAGTAAACACATGAAGCTGAATACATTTAGATATTCAGATAAAGTATCTCAGAACTTTTATCTGATTTTTAATACATGACCTCAGTATGTGGTGTTAAACAAGTTTATGGAAACATTCAGTAGATCATAGATTTATCTTTAAATTCATACATCCAGCTGTCATTGGGTGAGAGGCGGGTCACACCCTGGACTGTTCGCCAGTCAATCACAGATTCTGACATTTAGAGACAGACAACCAGCCACACTCACATTCACACCTACGGGCAATTTAGAGTCAGCAGTTAACCTAACGAGCATATCTCTGGACTGAGGGAGAAAGCCAGAGTACCCAGAGAGAAACACTTCCCCAGGGAGAACATGCAAACTCCACACAGAGAGGGGCCTGATCAACAGGGATTCAAACCAGGAACCACCATGTGCTAACCACTGCACCACCATGCAGCCCATTCAATTTATTCGTCAGTAAAAAAATAAAAAAATAAATAAACAGTTCATGTGAGAGTTGGTTTGTTAAAGTAACTTTTAAATAAATATCAATTCCATGTTCACATCATTCAAGAAAAAATAAACAAAGAGGGAAAAGGAAAACTCAGCAGTACAAGGAGTCCTTTATAAAAAAGAGATTTATCATTATAAACATCTTGAAGTCTAAAACAAACTGACGCCAATCAGATGAATAATAAAATCATAGAATGAAGAGAGTCTTACCTTTTCTTGTGATGCTCTGGAGTGACTCTGCAAATGTGCAGGCTGGTCCAGATTTTTTATAGGGTCTCTTACTTTCACTTTTGTTCTTTTGTCTGTTTCTGGTAAGTCCCCTGATTTCCGAGAAATGACTGTTCAGATCTTTAGTGACTGTTTTTTTTAAGTGTGCAGGTTCATCAGAATTTGCACAAGATATAATAAAAAGGAAAAATGTATCTTTACTGACTGACTATATCAGTCTTTGCAGATACAGCAGTGATAGCTTGATATCTAAATGTTTTTTTCAGTATTTATTTTATTTACTCATTCTACCTTTCCCTCTGTGTTTACCTGTCCTCATCACCTGGCTCTTACATCCAGCTGACCCCACCTGCCCTTCAGTGTCCCCTTCTTCCTCTATACTCATCCACTTGGCCTTTTTCTTTTTTTAACATGTCTTTATGATTATGCATCGTTTATGTATTTGATGCTTACGCAGTTGTTTCAGCTTTTTGCAGCATGTCTTTTTTTTTTTTCTTTGCAATGCCTTTGGACGTGTCTTTAGTTTTTGGCTTCTGCGTTCACTTTTAAATTTGCATAATTTTTAAATTTGCTGCACGTCTTCATAGTAAGCGTTTGTACTTCTCTGCCAACATACAGAAGACACTTTGATTGAAGATTCTTTGATTCTTTGAGGTGCTTGATACTTATACAACCTGTCCCACCTCCTCTAGTGCACATGGTTTATTTCTAGGGCAATTTCCATTTTGCAGAATCTGCATACAAATCGTTAAAAGCACCAGATTTTACAATTCCAGGACACAATTTGTGTAATAAAGTCCGAAAAGGAATACATCTTCATCAGACGATTGGCTGAAGGGTTGTCTACCAGGAACCACTTTTTCTCAGTGTTTGACTCTTAATGTGTCTCCATGTGGCAAGCAGCTACAGGCACCTCTTCCTGTCACTCCCTGAAGTTGAAACGGTAAAACTATGTAATGTGTAATCAATATGCAGTCCAACATCTACACCAGTCATAATATAAATATCCCGACTTGAAATGGCAGTCTGAATGGGGTCCTACTCTTTGAGTTTAGCTGCTGCACTTTTGCAAAAAGTTTTTATAGATTTTGTGTTAGCTTCCCCGTTACCACAGACTGTATACTTGCATACTGTGATTGATCGCTAGAGGGCGCTATCTAATCACGATTCTGCCATGACAGTAAGTGGAGTTTTTCAGTTAAATCAAATTGAAAATCATTTTCTGTTAATTTAATTAAAATAAGCCAGTAGGCCTACACTTGAAATTTATATTGTAAGTAAAGCTATCAAAAAGAAATCAACTGTCACCGGGTCCCTCAAATATTTTATCAAGTAAGACAAAGTAACATTCAATGAGTCCCGGTAAATACTTTCAAAGTAAAATAATCCACGTACTTTGTGTGTGAATGCGTTTTTATTTATTTCGCCCTGAAAATGTTTCGATCTCGGACTTTATTGGTATCAAACAATTATGGTCTGCGTAAAATTTCCGATTATCCACCTACTTATAAAACTAATCTTGAAATGTGTACTTCCGGTTCAGAGGTCCGCTGCTGTTGGACCACACGGGCGTTGTTACAGCGTCGGCCATTTTGATTATAAGAACTCTGCGCGCAGTAAATGAAAAGGCTCGTACGGACTCACCGTAGTTGTTTAAATCGGAGCTACATTATACACAGGACAAAATGCTCTCGGCAGCCCAGTTGCTCGATGAGTTAATGGGCCGAGACAGAAACTTGGCCCCTGATGAAAAGCGATGCAACGTGCGATGGGACGACGAGAGCGTAAGTTAGCAGCTAACCTTAGCCTAGCTTAGTTTAGCTCGTTTGATTAGTAAACGAACTTTACAGAGCTCGGGATCTTTAAAAAAAAAAAATAGGCTCTGTGAGGTTTTGCCGGATTTAAAACAACGGTTAATAGGCTATAAAACAGAAATGACTCGGAATTTGTCTTCTTTAAGTGTCATCCAGGGAGGCGTGGTGGGGAATCTAGCTTCAGAGTAGGCTAAAGCTAATGCTAAAGCTAATACGTTACAATTGCCTGCGTTATGAATTAAGAGTTATAACCTTATTCTTGATGCCACTTAAGTCAGAGTTAATGCTCACGTCATGATGGGTGTTTTACCTGCTTCAGAGAGTGACATTAGTGAAACTGGTAATTTGAGACATAATCTCTAAAACCACGTTGTTGTTGCAGTCAGGATTACTGAAAAACCTCTCTGTTTCCCCCTCATAGGTCTGTCGGTACTATCTTAAACTTCTGTTTCCCCCTCATAGGTCTGTCGGTATTATCTTAAACTTCTCTGTTTCCCCCTCATAGGTCTGTCGGTATTATCTTAAACTTCTCTGTTTCCCCCTCATAGGTCTGTCGGTATTATCTTAAACTTCTCTGTTTCCCCCTCATAGGTCTGTCGGTATTATCTTAAACTTCTCTGTTTCCCCCTCATAGGTCTGCCGGTACTATCTGTGTGGCTTCTGTCCGGCTGAGCTCTTCACAAACACCCGATCTGACCTGGGTAAGAAACTAGCTTCTTGGACTAAATCTTCCTTTTTCCACTTCCCATCTGCACAGCTGTCCCAAGAGTCAGCCTCTAGTTGATCACTTTAATGATCACCTCAATTTACTTACACAGCACCTTTAATTTAATGCCTCTTGTTTAATGTCTGTTTTTGATAACTCTGCACTGTCTGCTTTTTTAAACATTGCTGTACATATATAGACAACTTCAGAAGGTTTATTTTTTTATATTCAGGTCTAATTACAGATTTTTTTCCTCAACTGTTTATAGGTTCTTCTTTAAATCTCACATATATTTTTATCCCTGCACGGGTTATGTCCATTTCTTGTGTAAATCTATTTTTAATTGCACAGTTTAAGTTTGTTTCATCTAGAGGTATTCTTTAAATCTTTTTTTCGGGTTAATATATATGTATGAGGGGGGGGGCGTCGGTTTTGTGGTTAATTTTTAACAAATCTTTCATGTCATGTATGTCGTGTAACCTGCTACTGGATGCTTTGAATTTCCTTCGGGATCAATAAATTATCTTTATTTATTATTATTATTATAGATAGATATCTATCTATCTATTAGATGTTTCTGTATGGCAGCAGCAGCTGATTTTGTACACAGCACATGTTGCAAAAAAAAGATAGATATGTGAAGGAGAAGTATTTCATTTGTATAAAAAGGAGACTCAAACAGAAATGAGACTGATGAGGTGCCTTTTGAGACCTTTTTATAAATTATGTTGAATTACTACATTGTTTTTTAACTCATCCCTCGTGGTCCTTGGTAACTTACAGATGAAACTGGCCTGTTCTACGATACTAAAGCGTTTAATTCATTTACAGGTCCTTGTGAGAAAATCCACGATGAAAATCTTAGAACAACGTAAGTTCCGATTATTTCCGGGGGGGCAGGGGGACATAATGTTTGTGTCTTTATGTTGCCACCTTATTAACCGTTTCTATCCCGTCTACTGCAGGTATGAGAAAAGCTCTCGGTTCATGAAGGAGGGATATGAGCGAGACTTCCTGCGTTATCTGCAGTCGCTGCTGGCAGAGGTGGAACGGCGGATTCGAAGAGGACATGCGCGGCTTGCACTCTCCCAAGCTCAGCAGAATGCGGGGGTTTGTAACTTTTAATTTTGACTGCGTTGCTGTTTTGAGCGATCGCTAAAGTGAATGTATATGCTAGTCGGTGCGTCTTTCTTTCCTCTCTAACCATGCACATCATCAACCTGAAGGAAATAGATGCTGTTTTGTACCTGAGATACAGTGTGTTTGATCCTTCAGGGTCCTGGTCCAGCTGGAAAGAACGAGGAGAAGGCCCAGGTTCTAACAGAGAAAATTGAAGACCTAGTTTTACAGGTTTGCATGAAAAAACAATATAAGACATCCAACTTCATCCTTATTGACACATAACAGTTTAAGGCATGGATGGTGATGAAGCTGATTTGTCTTTTCTCTGGTTGGCTTTTGCTTAGATCGAGGAGCTGGGGTCAGAGGGCAGAGTGGAGGAGGCCCAGGGAATGATGAAGCTGGTGGAGCAGCTGAAGGAGGAGAGGGAGCTGCTCAGCTCCACCCCCTCGGTGAGTCAGGGAACTGAACAGGACAGTCAGCCTACTACAGGTTCTTCTTGTGTTATTTTCACTGTTAATAAACATGTTTAATTTTCAAACTTCTTCCAGACAATCGAGAGCTTTGCAGCCCAGGAGAAACAGATGGAGGTGTGTGAGGTGTGTGGGGCCTTCCTCATCGTGGGGGATGCACAATCACGCGTGGACGATCACTTGATGGGCAAGCAACACATGGGCTACGCGAAGATCAAATCTACTGTAGAGGAGCTCAAGGTAACAAGAGTTTCTGACCCACAGAGCCCATAGCTAGAGGGTAATGTAACGCTGTAATAACTAGAAAACATAATTTCTTTATTCAGAGTCCTGACATTGTTGCAAGAGAAGAAATTGTTAATATTTTACTGCCATCTTTGAAACATTTGGATCAACTTTTCATAGTTAAGACGAGTGTTCTCGCTTACAGGAGAAACTTCGTCGCCGCTCAGAAGAGCCCCCAGGCGAAACCCCCGCGCTCAAGAAGGACAGAGAAGACCGCGAGCGGGAGAGGGAGGAGCGGGAGAAAAAGCGCAAAGAGGAGGAAGAGAAGGAGAAGGAGCGAGAGAAGGAACGCGAGAAGGAGAGGGAGCGGGAAAAGGAGAGAGAGCGGGAGCGTGAGAGAGAGCGAGACAGAGACCGGGACAGAGACCGGGACAGAGACAGAGACCGGGACAGGGACAGGAGGTCACGCAGAAGCCACTCCAACAGCCGCCACTCCAGTCGAGCGTCGGACAGGAAACGGAGCAGATCCCGTGATCGGCGAAGGTCCAGGAGCAGAGACAAGGAGAGGGAGCGCAAACGCAGCAGGTATGGCCAACTCTATAAAATCCCATTTAACAGAAATGTGTCGGCCTTAAAGTTCCAGTTTGTCACTCAATGCATTCTATTTTTTAAAATAATCACCCCATTCCCCTCCTCTTCTTCTTCTTTTTTTTTTTTTAGGAGCCGGGACAGGGACAGGGAGAGGGAGAGGAGGCGCAGCCGGGATCGCTCCGATAGAAAACGACGCTCCCGCAGCCGCGAACGGAGGAGGTCTCGCAGCTCAGAGCGCAAATCTCACCGCCACCGCAGCCGCAGCAAGGACAGGGACAAGGAGAGGGACAGAGAGCGGTCATCAAAAGACAAAGGTGAGGACCAGTGGGCGCAGAGATCTAAGGTCCTCAATAGGGACATGGAACAGTAATTGGCTTGTGATGGATCTGTTTACATTGTTGTTCATGAACGCGTAATGTTTCCTCAGACCGTAAGTCGACAGAGGAGAGAAGCAGTTCTAAGAAAGACAAGCACTCTGGCGGCGATGCAGCCACCGTCAAGGCTTCGTCCGAAGTGGAACCGATGGAGACGGAGGTGGCTGCCTCCGCCTCCTCCCCTCTGCTTAACGGCCAGCAAGAGCTCCTCCATTCTGAAGGTGACACTCAGTCCAATTAAAACTGATCTGATAGGACCTCAGATCAGGCTCAGGTAAGTGCGGCCTCCTCCCTGCTCCCCCCTGGCTCTGAACCCAACCCTGTCCCCCCCTTCTCCCATCTCCCTCACCCTCCCTCTCTCCCTACCTTTCCCACCCTGTTTAAGTTCAGTTCAATGCCTATGATTTTGTCTTATGTACTTTGTGCATATATCTTTATCCTGTTTTCTGTAATAGTGCATCATAAGTATGCACTGAAGATGAAGGACTAGGCCCGATGAATGAGAAGAAAGTAGAAAACATTCACACAAAGCCAAGAGGGAAAAGCCAGTGTAGTCCTGAGCAAACATGCCCTGAGGTACCCCTCGTTTTGTATCTGGGTTTTCCTTAGAGATGTATTTTGTCTTTGCAGGCAAAATGGCAGAAAAGGTATTAACCAGTAAAATTTTCCTGCCTGTATTACCCTGTGTTTTTTCTTTCTTCTTTGAAGTAGGAAAGTGTACCTTTTTCAGTTTGCTGAGATCTTTCCCTCCATAAAGGGAGAGAAGTCACCCTCTGTGTGTCTATATGTGTCTACATAAGATGAAGTGGGGATTTCTCCTGCTCACATATAAACACACAGACAGACTTTCAGCTGTAGTCAAAGGTGTATGTAAAAAAAACAAGCAACTTTATTTTTTACAGTTATCATTTCTCAAATGCCTTGGATTTGTTGTCCAGCTTACTGTGCCTGATAATACCATGCAGTGTGTGTTTGGGGGGTGTCCTAGCACCGGGGGCCTTATGTAACTAACTAACTGGAGGGTAGGGTTTATCGAATGAATTGCAGCTGACTTCCACACCTCACACAGCGTTGGTGTTGTGAGCGAGACCACATGAGAAAAGGGCAAATTAAAAATCATGGATACTCTCTGACTGTCAAACTGTGCAGGTACTCACCCCAGGTACTCCTTTCTCTACCCACATCCATTTCTGAATGCTGTTGCCTGTCAGAAATAACTATTCTGTACTTCTCCAAAACATGGATGTAAAAGCTTGATGTGTACATTTTTTTTTTTATTGTGCTTCTTGTTTTAAAATTAACATTCAGATATGTTTTGCAAAGGTTAAGAGGTTGTCATAGAAATGCCAGAGATTAACTTTTCTCAAAGCTGAGATGCACGAGGCAGCCTGCTTGATATACCTGCCCCAGATGCTCAAGTTTCATGTTTTGTTTTGAGACTTTAAATGTCACATAGGTTGAGTTGGTAGGAAGCCATCTTTTAAATTGGCTCAAATTCTGCCAAGAGTTTTAATGATTGCACTTGTGCATCAGTGCTGGGAATATCAAACAGGCTTGTCAGTGTTTTTAAAGGATAAGGGTGCAAGGTAGTGACCAAACCTTTTTTTTATTTTATTTTTTAGAATCGTCCAAGTACAGACTTTTGATAGGTGCTACTAGGTAGATCATTTTTTATCCACATCAGGATTTTTGTGTGCATCATAAGCAGTTAAATTTGTTTACAACCTTCACCTTCCTCTGTGGCTAAATTGAGGGATACATTTGACCAGTAGCGTTTATCTAAATGTTGATGTTGCTCCAGTAGCAGCAGATGTTAAAAAAAACAAAAACAAAAAACACCTTGTTGCGGGACCTTTGCTAACATGACATTTTGTGAACATCTTTGTTCAACAGGGGAAGCTGGGCTACCTGGTGGAGGAAAAGTGGAAGAGCGCACCCATCCTTACCCTGAACCTGACACCTCGCTGCTTAAAAACAAGGTGAACCACAGTTGTGTAGTGGCTTATTTAAAAACATGAGATGATTTTCATGTTCCCTTACCTGTTGATCTTGGAGGAAGGTAGTTGTGGTTCATCTAATGTGTTTCTTGGTCTACATGTCCCCAGGCATCACTTTACCAAACTTAGAGGAGATTATGGCTTTTTGTGTTTCTTTTTATAAAAAAAAAACTTTACACACCCCTCTTTGTTTTTCAGCATTTAGTGAAAATGAAATAAAGTCAGTGCTTGTGGTTTATTTTGTGTGTCAGGTTCCACTTTCACATCCCTGCCCCTTCTTTTCTAAAGTCAGATGAACGCGTATGTACAATGTTAGTCTCCCTGACCGGCCGTGTCTCTTTTCTCCTCCACGTCGAGCTCACCATGATGTCCCCTTACTGTAAAAAAAAAATATACTGATTTCATTTTGATCAAAAGATTTTGAAGACTGAAGACTTGTTTAATTTTGATCTGCTTTTACTGTCCATGTTGTCTCGATGAATAAAAGGTGAAAACATTTTGATGGTGTGGTGTTTTTCTTTCATTCTTACCTTCGTTGGGTTTCCTGTAAGTCGCCCGTTAATGAGTTTCAGCCACATTTAAAGTGTATTACATCAGGATGATATTCTTATTCCCACAGTTCTGTTGTTTAATAATTTACAATCAAGTTATTTTCTGAAAGCATTCTTATTTTTGATGGCAGTAAGCATAAATCATCATAGAGCCAATATTCTGGTTTAATCTATTATTCATCTTATCTTATTATGTATTAAGGTTTTATTCATTCAATAGTGAATCTCCAAATGTTTTTTTTATGTTTGACTTCTTTATTCAGGAGGAAATCATGTAAGCCAGTCAGAACATTTAGCAAACGGTATTCCAAGGACGGGATTCTTCCAGATTTTCTAACTAGAGAAACCTTTCTTACAAGTGCTAAACTAAAAGTGTTGTCCTACAAAACGACACATCCTTGGTTTTGTTTAAAGGATACGACTAGGGATGGAAAGATTAATCGTGATAAATCGATTCAAAGGAGTCAAGGTTCACATCGGTATTCTGAAAAATGAATTGCAATAATGTGGTGAGCGTCAGCAGCTGCAGAGCTAGATTTAGAAATGGAGGACGCACCACCGTCTTAAATCGGACGTGTGGAAGCATTTTGGCTTCAGATAACAAACGAGACAAAAACTGCAAATATTACAAGACAACTACACAAATATCACAACCAACATGATGCAGCGTTTAATCCACACCACAACAATCCCCCATGATGCCACCTATTCAAATGGCTAATATTTAACTATTTCATGACATAGATGACAAAATCATTTAAATAAGCTGAATTTTTTAGGTGTAATTTTTTGTGTAATTTTGATTTTCTTTGTCGATCTCATGCCTGATTACTTTGCATACGAGCTGTAAACACTTTTAATGTAACCTGTAGTCTGCAGAAAGTCACTCCTGTATAATATCTTCATCCTGCTGAGTCTGTAACGATCTATACCATAGACTGTAAATAATACATACAGTCTATGATCTATACGTACATTACGACAAACTTTGCACCTCAAGCCATCCTTTCATCCCGCCGCTCTTGTAGCTGAGTGAGAACACGTATCCTGCTGACCTACCTTGAAGGACAGAATGGAACATTTTCATCCATCAATGTTCCTCTGTGATTCTGTGCTCTTTAGTTGAAAGAGTCAGAGGAACCCCTGAATTATCGCTTAGCCTTGAAACATTCCATTTCATATTTTCTTTCTAAACTTCCTTCCACACTTATGTGTAATTTAATAAAACTTCAGCTTCTAATGAGCTCTTAGTCGAACGCACATGGTTTCCCCTTGTTTTTATCTGTACAGTGTGTGCCCCTAACGCTGGCTACATGCCAGGCTGTAGGTTTTTTTTCTTTGTTCCTGACCTTTTCCTCACAAAGCGCCCGTGGAGAAAGCTGCAGCATTCTGTGCGAGGTCATCGTTTGAGTGTAATTAATAGCTACTGTATTGTGCACGCAGGTTAGTGTACAACCCCACACCCTGTACATTTACTGCAGACTGAATGCTGCAGAAATCAACTTTACATCTCTTATTGTGAGGTGTTTCAGATGGATAACCTTTCACCTCTCAGCACAATATCAACATGAAGCAATAAAGGATGCTAGGGTTGCTCAAGTAGAATTAGTAGTGTGCTTAGATACCACCAAGGCTTAGTTTGCAAACGAATAATTCCGCTTTATGTCACACACAGAGGCGCTGCTTGACAACAGGCAAGGCATGCAATTGAGGATTCACAAACTTTAAACCACAGCAGCTGCCCAAAATGTGCAAATTTTGCAATGACAGTAGGTAAAAACCTCCCTAAGGGGGCCCCATTTAAAAGCATTCACACTTGCTGCCTTGCAAAGCGTTATTATTGCTGTGTAAACCAAAATGTGTCTTTAAAAGTCAACCAGGAAACATGAAGAGGAGTTATCTGTCTATAGGAGAGAAAACAGAAATGTGGAAAAAAGAGGAAGGGGAGTAACATTTGGGACAATGGCAGACATTATGTTGACAAATGCGGGTTGTAGCCCCCCCCCCCCTCGCCGCAATTATTTTTGCCTGGGGCCCCAACATACTCTAGAATCGCCACTGGTCACACATATGGAAGGCAAATTGCAAAAGCTTGCAGGATTTATTTTGTTTTATTAAGTGGCCAGTTTACAACAGAAGATGGTCACTCACCTGAGATCAGTTTTACTCACTAATGTCCAAATATGTTCCCCGGTTAAGGTTGGGGCTCAGGTTTAGAGATGATCCCTATGCATGAGCTGGGTTCGTTTGACTGCTTAACTGGCTTTAAATCAAAAACTGTCCTTGGCTTATATTTGTTTTTTCCTCATCACCATTGTTAGTAGGGAAACACCTGCTTTGCATAGTCTCAGTAGAAGAAAAAAAAATAGTGAGGTGTTTGTGCCTCTAACATGCAATTTATTCAATTACTACACGTAATCGTGCTTAATTGTGCAGGAGGTCTGGCCCAGCTGTGACCTCTGCTCACATCTGTCTCGCCCCCAAACCTGCAGAAAAAAGGTGTCCTCTCCTGGCGTCCTGTCCCAGAACACCCAAAGAAGCAGGTGGGCTTCAGATGGTTTGTTAACTTCTGGGACAGATGCCGAAAAAGGGAACAATGAGCCGTAGAGGGGAGAGAGCCAGAGACTGTGGGGGAGGTAGACTGGCAGGTATGCAATGCATGGAGCAGCTGAATTTATAATACAGTCTGCGGTGAATCTGAACTCTTCTTTTTGCTTTTTATCGAACTGTTATAATGTTGCTATGTATACTGCAGATCTGTCACTTTGCATCCCTGAACAGCAGGGGGCAGTGTGCACCTATTTATCAAGCGGGGACCAAAAGTGGTAGTTGCATCACAGCAGTGCAGCCACAGCGTTTCTTCAGATACATCATGCCTGTTATTGCATGATTATGCACACACATGAGCAGCAGGATTCCCTGAGAGTCGTAACTCGTTCTCAACAGGGCTGCAACATTAACGTCACTCTCTTTCTCTCTCTCTCTCTCTCTCTCTCTCTCTGCAACCCTGCAATGTGTACATGTCATTAAGGAAAGCAGTATTTCCCCAGGGTATGAGTTGTAGGCTGTGGAGAAACGACAGAAAGACAACGAGTCGAGAAGACAAGGGGGGAAGGAAATGAAAAAGTGATAGAGCAGGAAAACAAAGAGGAGAGACGGAGGGGAGTGAGCCTGATGTGATGCTAAATAACCAGGGTGCAGAAGGATAATGGAGACGGATTGTCTTCTTTCTTTCTCTACTTTTTTTCTTCTCTTTTCACACAGACAGTCGATCTCAAGTGAAGGTCGAGGGGAAGCAGCACGTAGATTATGCAGCAGAGAAGGCAATTCATCAGTGCTGTCGACGCGGCTGTCTGATTAATGATCCAAACTCCAACACACACTCAGAGCTTATGTCAGCTGTCAGTCATATTCTGATGGAGGGAATATCATTTACCCTTAGGGCAGCTACCTTTTGTGCTGAGCGAGTGCCTGTTTCATTACTCCTTGCACAGCTGTAGCAGAAAAGCTATCGGCTTTGATTACTTTTTTTCCCTGTGTATTGTTATTGCAGTGAAACCAGGTATCCTTAAAGGCACTGCAGACATAATGCAGTATAGTGCTTTATAATTAAACCTTCTTTTTCTTCTGTTATGCTTCAAAGTGTTGGTAACCCTTCCTTTGAAGTTGTAACAGCCCGAGTTTTATCATGCTTTATGGAAATTTAGATAGTACTTCTGAGTCCATTACTTTGTTTATTACAGTTACTGTTCATGGCTGTACCCATTTTCTACAATTCTACAATTCACTTAGCAGACACTTTTATCCACAACGACGTACATCAAAGAGTAAGTACAACACAAAGCAAGGATCTAGAAAAAAGGGAACAATGTCAGTAAGAGCAAACAATCAGCTTTGAGTCCGATTGGACACACAGGTGCTGACAGGAAGTGACCAGAGGCAAAGCACAGCATTGACGTCAGTTCTTGAGAGCTCTGATCAGTATAGAAACCATCTTATAAATCGTCGTTATCAAACAAAAACCATCGTCATTACCATCATCATCATCATCATCTATAATATGGAGACCATCATCATTAAGTTAGTAGGTATTCATGAAAGAGCTGGGTCTTTAGCTTTTTCTTAAAGGTGCAGATCGAATGGAGTTTGGAAGTTCATTCCACCACCGGGGGGGCGACAGAGGAGAAGAGTCTAGTCAGCGTCTTAGGACCCTGTTGTGAAGGTTGGATCAGACGCCTTTCATTGGCAAAGCAAGTTTCAATTCGCTCACCTAGCTGACAAGACCTTTCTTGTTTTCAGATCAGAGCTTGTTCTTCTGGCAGTTTCGGATTCAGACTCTTTTAAGCTTGGATTTTTGTGAAAAACCATTTATAGAAGCAATATTTAAAAAACTATGTAAAAGTATATCCTGAATCATCATCCCATCATTTCAGATCTTGAAATATGAATACAAACTTTTATCTTCTCACGTTTTTATTATTGTAAATTGCTCTTAACGTGGCTCAGCCAATCAGCTGCCTGATTATTAACCCCACTGACTAAATCAGTCACCAATCTATCACAGTGCATATACACCACTTTGGACCATCCTTTTACATCATTTTTGGCAGGAAAATGACATAATAAGAGTGAGTGAACACTGTGTTAGAATTTAAAAATAAATTATTTTTAGTGAACAGTAGTCTCCAAAAGTTCAGAAGCTTTCAAAAAAACTCATGCACACTGCCTACATTTCCATGTACTGAAAAGTTGCAAACATATTAGAATTCAGACAGAGTGCAGGAGCTTGTTGCAAGTTGTTTGATCATTTTAAACAAGAAAGTTCCCATTATTGGGGTCCTAGGGCTTCGATTTATGTTGCTGTGGTATCAAAACTAGTATGGATATTGTTCTAGCATCAGAATGAACTTGAAAATTCTGGACAAGCGTAGTTAGTTCTTTAATTT